ATATATTTGATCTGACTTGATCTCCCGCGACTTGATATGACCTCAAGTAAACGGAGGGACTGGACTTGCTCTGAACTGATCTTACGAATTGTTACCTGATATGATCTGAATTGACTTGACCTGACTTAACACGACCTAACTTGGTATGAGTTGAATTGACATGAGCTGACTTGACTCAACTAACTTCACACGAACTAACATGAAGTCAAAAATTTTTTAATGTCTGAATTTGTCTTCGTAGTTATTTCGAAAAAGAGAGAAAAAATAGAGAAACAAAAAATAGTGAGATAGAGGAACAAAGACACGGAGAAATAAAGAAGTAGATACACCGAGAAACAAACGAAGAGACAAAAAAGCACAGAAACAAAAAGACTAAAACATGAAAGATATAGAATTAGTGACACAAAAAAAAAGAAACAGAGGCACAAAGAAACAAAGAGACACAAAAATATAAAGAGACACAGAAACAAAAAAATTGGAAAAGTGAGAAATAAAAAGATTTAAAAAATGGAGAGATAGAAATAGTGTCACAGAAAAATAAAAAACACAAAGACAAACAGAAAGGTAGAGAAATAAAGAAATAATGAAACAGAAATTAAAAACGGAGACTCGAAAGAACGGGAAGACAGAGAAATACACTGAAGTAGAGAGACAAAGTAACACAGATAAAGACAGAGAGATCCAAAAATAGGGGGACAGAAAAACAGAGACACAGAAAGACTATAAAATAGAGAAATACAGAGGCTAGGACAGAGCGAAATAAAGAAACATAGAAATAGAGAGACAGAGGAACAGAGATAGAGACAGAGATAGAAACTGAAATTTTAAAAATTAGAAAGATATAGAAATAGTGACACAGAAAAACACAGACAAACAAAGACACAGATACACAGAGAAGTGGAGAGAGGAAACACCAAACAAAGAAACAGATAGACACAGGAACAGCAATAGAGATAGAGAGACACAGAACTAGGAAGACATAGAAACATAGAAAAAGAACAAAAAAATAAAAAGATATATTTGATTTTTTTTTGTATTAGTAATTATTTCGAAAGAGAGAGAAAAAAATAGAGAGAAAAAAAGTGAGATAGAGGAACAAAAACACGGAGATATAAAGAAGTAGATACACTGAGGAATACAGAAAGAAACAGTGAGACACAAAAACGTAAAGAGACACAGAAACAAGAAAACCGGAAAACAGAGAAACAAAAAGATTTGAGAATGGAGAGATACAGAGAAACACAGAGACAAACAGAGACACAAATACACAGAGAAATAGAGAGAGAAAAACACGAAACAAAGAAAGAATGAAACAGATATACAGAGAAACAGCAATAGAGACAGAGAAACATAGAAAAAGTAACACAAAAAATAAAGAGATATATTTAATGTTTGAATTATTTGGTCTTCGTAGTTATTTCGAAAAAGGTAAAAAAAAATAGAGAGACAAAAAAATAGTCAGATAGAGGCACGGGATATAAAAGAAATAGATACACTGAGAAATACAGAGAGAAACAGTGAAACAGAAAGACACAGACACAAAAAGACCAAAAATAGAAATACTTGGAATTAGTGACACAAAAAAAAAGAAACCGAGACCCAAAAGTGTAAAGAGACACAGAAACAAGAAAACCTGAAAACGGAGAAACAAAAAGATTAAAAAATGGAGAGATATAGAAATAGTAACACAGAGAAATAAAAAACAGAAAGTCAAACAGAGAGGCAGAGAAATAGAGAAATAATGAAACAGAGAAATTAAAAACGGAGACTCGAAAGAACAGGAAGACAGGGATATAGAGAGGCAGAGAAACAAAGAACACTGAAGTAAAGAGACAAAGTAACAGAGATAGAGACAGAGAGATCCAGAAACAGGGGACCCAAAAACAGAGATACAGAAGGACTAAAAAATAGAGAAATACAGACATTGGGACAGAGCGAAATAAAGAAACACCGAAATAGAGAAACAGAGGAACAGAGATTAAAAATTAGGGTGAGATAGAAATAGTGACACAGAGAAATAAAGAAACAGAGACACAGAGAAACACCGATACATAGAAAAATAGAGAGAAAACAACATAAAACAAAGAAATAGTGAACAGATAGACAAAGAACTAGGACGAGAGACAAATATAGATAAAGTAACACAAAAAATTAAGAGATATAGAAATAATGGGACAGAGAAATAAAGAGACAGAGATACAGAGAAGCACAGAAAAAACAGGAAAATAGTGAAATAAAGAGAGAGAAACGCAGAGAAACAAACAGGCAAAAAAACAAAAAACAGAAATATAGAAACAGAGAAGCAGACAGAGATAAAGAGACACAGAAACAGAAGGATAGGACGAGAGAGGAACCGAAAGATTAATCATTAGAGAGATATAGAAAGAGTGACACAGGGAAATAAACAATGAGAGACACAGAAACGCAGAGATAAACAGAAAAATAGAGACAGGGTGACAGAGAACAAGAAAGACTAGAAACCAAGGAAATATAGAATTAGTGACACAAAAAAAATAAACCCAGACACGGAGAAACAGAGAAATAAGGACGCAGGGAAACACAGAGACAAAAAACGGAGATAAAAAGAAACAAAAAGTCAGAAAAACGGAGATATAGAAAGGCGATGGCGAAGCAGAAAAACAAAGAAACACGGAAATAGAGACTAAAAAACAGAAAGATATAGAATAAGTGACAAAAAAAGAAACACAGGCACAAAGAACAGATAAATAAAGAAACAGGAAAAAACGGAGACTGAAAACGGAGACACTAAGAAGCAGAGAAACACAAAAATGTAGACAAAGAAAAATAAAGAAACACGGAAACCGAAAAAGAGAGAAACAAAAAGATTAAAAAACAGAGAGATAGATATAGTGACACCGAGAAATAAAAAAAGAGAGAGGCAGAGAAATAGGGAAATAATGAAACAGAAGAATTAAAAACGGAGACCAGAAAGAACAGAAAGACAGAAAAATAGAGAGGTAGAGAAACAAAAAACACTGAAGTAGACTAACAAAGTAACAGAGATAGAGACAGAGACAGAGAGATCCAGAAACAGGGGGACAGGAAAATAGAGACACAGAAAGACTAAAAAATAGAGAAATACAAAGACTGCGACGCAGCGAAATAAAGAAACGCAGAAATAGCGAGACGGAGACAGAGATAGAAGGCGAAATATTAAAAATGAGAGAGATATAGAGAAACAAACAGAGTCACAGATACACAGAGAAATAGAGAGAAAAAACACGAAACAAAGAAAGAGTGAAACAGATAGACACAGAAATAGGAAGACAGAGAAACAGTAAACAGAAAAAGTAACACAAAAAATAAAGAGATATAGAAATAATGTAGACGTAGAGAAATAAACAGGCAAAGAAACAAAAACATAGAAATATGGAGCCAGAGGAACAGACGGAGATAAAGAGACACAGAAACAGAGGGATAGGAAGAGAAAGAAACCGAAAAATTAAACATAAGAGTGACACAGAAATAAATAAAGACAGACAAAGAAACGCAGATATAAACAGAAAAACAGAGGCACAGAGAAACAGAGAAATGGGAAAAAAAAGGAAATCGAAGAATTGAAAATGAAAACATAAAAGTACAAGAAGGCAGAGAAATAGGGACACAGAGAGACAAAAACAGGAAAACAGAAAAACATGGAAAGGGTAACATAAATAAGGAGATACTGAAATATTGTGATAGAGAAATAAAGAGACAGAAACACAGAGAAAATACGGAAACTGAAACTGACTTGACATGCTCTGAATTGACCTCATCTGATCTTCTTAGTTTTTGAAAAACAATATTTTAATTATGATTTTGTTCCTTGATGACCTGAGTTGACTTGACCTGACTTGACTTGACACGACCAGATTTGATACGACCTAACTTGGTATGAGTTGAATTGACATAAGCTGACTTGATATGACCTGACTTGATTTGATTGGACATAATCTGACTTGACATGAATTGACTTAACTTCATTTGAACGGCTCAAGTATTCGTTGTCTATTTAATTTAAATTTTAAATTCTGGTTTTGAAAGTTTAACAGTAAAAATGTGACATTTCTGTTATATATTTAGGTATGACAGAAAGAGAAACAAAGAAAGTGAAAAAGAGAGAGACACAGAATTTTTGTTTCAAGTTTATTAATTTCCCCCTAAGGTGAAGTTAAAATTCTGAAAATCAAAATTTTAACCATAGTTTTGTGATCTCGTCTAACCGGACTTGACTTGAATTAACTCGATCTGCCTTGACCCGACCTGATAAAATTGACCTAAATTCCAAATTTTTGTACTGAAGACTAAACATTAAAAATTTAACACTTCAGTTAAGTATTTAAGTATGAGAGAAAGAGAAACAGCGAGAAGGTAAGAGAAAAAGGGGGCAAAGAAACACATATAAATTTGTCTAGTCTTCACATTGAAATTTTGTTTCAAATTTAATAACTTTTATTTCGGGTGAAGTTAAAATTCTAAAAAACAAGATTTTAACTTTTTTTTTGTTAGTTAACAAAGCTTATACTGTTTTACACTGGCGCAGAAAAGTGCATTACATTTTCACCATTCTTGATTTCTTTCAAATCCACTTATAAAAAAATCAAATTTCATAAACATTTTAGAAACCAGTGCTCTTCATTAAAAAAACCAAACATCCCAAAAATTAAAAAAAAAAAATACATAAATAATACACAACAACAAATAAACTTTTCCGACGCCGCCTGAAACTTGAAGCCATTGTTCGTTAAAAACCGCCACTTCCGCCTCCATTTTTAATATTCGTCATTCATTTAAAACCTATAGCAAACAGTAATTAAACTTCAAGCACCCTATTAGACAAAATCTACATTATAATAAAAATTTCGATAGGAAATTAATTTAGCCAGTGCAGCAGCGATTAGCCAATGAGATAAGGACTTTTTGAACCCTAAATGCAAACTCGCTGGAGGGGAGTGTGCATATAAAACCGACCACCCCTTACATATACTTAGTTACCTAAAACCGCCGGACCCCAGTCATAGTGTCATTAGTTTACGACCAGAAACGTGCGCCGACGACGCCGAAAAGGGAAATTTACACGTAAGTAATTAGTCATAAATAATTCAGTAATTAATCCTAATTATTTCCGGTGGAATTACTTGCTAATTTTAGTGCACGGTGAAAGTGATTTTTTTAAATTATTCAATAATTAATCGTAATTATTTCCGATAGAATTACTTGGTAATTTTAGAGCACTATGACGGTGATTTTGTTTGTAAGTGAAAATATTTCGTCGGGTTTTGAATTATTTATTTTACCATAAGCAGATTAAGTTGAAAGTTGAAAGCTTTTTGTTTTCCTCTTGCATTTAAATTACCAGGAAAAAAATTATTAGTTTGTTATTTTTTCCATTAAATTAAAAAATCTTGTAAATAAGAATTTAAATTACACAGTTTCTTGCTATTGTGGCTTTTTCAGATTTTTTTAATGATTCTTAACATACAACTCTGAGTTATTATGAAAGTTGAAACAACTTTTTTCTAAAATATTGTAAAATTAACATTATTACTACTATTATGTGGTATATGTTGGTAAGTTATTAATAATAAAAACTTTTGGTTTAACATAGACGCAGTGGCAAAAAAAAATTAAATGGATTATTGTTATTATAGTTTAAAAAATAGTTTTTTAAATTTTTGTCAAAGGTCCACAAATTTATATTTTTTGTGAAATATAAACTTGTGAAAATAATATTTTTCTAGTTATCTTAATTCTAATTTTTGTAAAACATTCTAATAATAATAATTTTAACAAAAATTAAAAAGTTACTGAAAAATGTATTTATTTATTTTAATTTCAGAATGACCGACTGCCGCCTAGACCCCGCCTACGACGACAGCTGCGACTCCGGCTACGACCTCTCCTTCAAATCCGAATCCTCCGAGTACTCCGAGAAGCCCGACCCCTTCTACGAGTACGACTTCCTCCAGCCCGACCACGCCCCCAACCCCTCCCTCCTCGACAAGTTCAGCACCGCCTTCCACTCCGCCCTCGAGCGCCACGAGCCCGCCGCCGACCTCTTCTACACCCTGTGCGCCTCCGAGGCCAAGACCTCCACCCCCGTCAAAGACAAGCCCAAGAAGCGCTACGTCCAGAGCCGGAGCCGCGCCTCCCGCTCCAAGAGCCCCTCCCAGATCCTGCGCATCAAGCGCGTGCGCCGCCTCAAGGCCAACGACAGGGAGAGGAACAGAATGCACATGCTGAACGAAGCTCTGGACCGTTTGCGCTGCGTGCTGCCCACCTTCCCTGAGGACACCAAGCTGACCAAGATCGAAACGTTGCGCTTCGCGCACAACTACATCTTCGCGCTGTCGCAGACGCTGAACGACCTGGAGCGCTGCGGGGCGCCGGGGGACTGCGTCACGGTGAACGTGGGGAACGTGGTGGTGTCGATCAGCAAGAACGGGAATAGTATTTCGGCGAGGAATAACGCGGTGGTGACGAGCGGGAGCATAGGGAACGCGAGCTTCATGCAGGATTACGGGTACGAGGGGAAGGGGTGTCAGGAGGAGGGGTTCGGGGGCGGGGGGTTTGCGAGTGGGGGGTACGGGGGGAATAATAATAATTTTTACGGGGGAGAGGGGCTGATGTATGAGTTTTTGTGAGTAGGATGGTAGGATGTGGGGGTGATTTGTGATAGAAGCTAGTCAGGCCTTAAGATTGTGAAATAGGTTTATTTTTGTATTTTTAGATTTTTATGGAACTATTGGCAATGTATTGCAATATTTTAATAAAGATGACAGAGTTTATTTGTGTTTTTTTTTTAAATAAGGTGAGATTTTTTGTACAATAAAAAAATAATGAGCGAAAATTGTACAAAAATATGGGGAAAGCTTTTGGTTCTAGGATTTCAACTCTTGGTTTCGTCTTGAAGATGTAATACATAAAATTTGGCTCGAAATTTATACAAAATGATCTGGACAATTACGTTTTACTTTTAGCACTGGTTTTAACGAATTTTATTTTTCTTCAATTTTTTATTGCTTCTAGTTTATTTCTCCTGACAGCCGTTTATGAAATATTTGGCAAACATTTGTTGTTTCAGGATTTTTTTAAACTTGTTGGTCAAAATAATGAAAATTTTGAGAAAAGTTAGAAATCTTTTTTAAGGCTTCATTTTAATACACTTTTGTTTTATGATTATTTTTGTTATTTATGTGCTCTCACGGGTATTCTACGTCTGGCCTTTTCAACAACATAAAGTCAGACGAAAAAATGTTTTCAAGGAAAAAACTGACAAAAGTAAAAGTAAAAACTTCAGCGTCAAAATTTTTCTTTAAAAACTTTCCCCTAATGTTTCTTATATCTACTACATACTTCGATAGATACATTAAAGTTATACGATATTTTTAGTTTTTATGTTTATGAATAAACATAAGTCAAATTTTTTTAATATTTGAATTATTTGTCTTCGTAGTTATTTTGGAAAATAGAGAGACAAATAAATAGTGAGATAGAAGAAAAAGCTGCGGAGAAATTGAGAAACACAGAAACAGAGATACACAAAAATCGTGATACGAAGAAATAAAGAAATAGAGACACCGAGAAATTCAAAGACAAACAAGAAAGACAGAAAGACACAGAAACAAAAAGACTAAAAAAACAGAGAGATATAGAATTAGTGGCACAAAAAAAAAAGAAGCAGAGGCACAAAGAAACAGAGAAATAAAGAAGCAAGGCGGAACAGAGACAGAAAACGGAGACACAAAGAAACACCGAGAGACAAAAATGTAGACATAGGAATACAGAGAGATGGCGACCCAGGGATAGAGGCAAAGAGACACAAAAAAAAGAAGGCGAGAAAACAGAGAAACAAAAAAATAAAAATCAGAGATCCAGAAACAGGGAGACAGAAAAACAGAGACACAGAAAGACTAAAAATAGAGAAATTTAGAGACACTGCGAAATAAAGAAGCACATAATTAGCAAAACAGAGGAACAGAGACCGAGATAAAGATAAAAATCGAAATGTTAAAAATTAGAGACATATAAACAGTGACACAAAAAAATTAAGAAACCGAGGCACAGAGAAACAAAGAGACAAACACAGTAACATAGAAATAGGGAAATAGAGACCGAGATCGAAAATGGAGACACAAAAGACCAGGAAGGCAGAGAAATAGAGAGAGAGAGAGAAATACGAAACAAAGAAACAGTGAAATAGAGAGACACGGGAACAGAAATAGAGACAGCGAGACACAGAAACAGTCAGAGTCAGAGTCAGCGAAATAGAGGAATAGGGAAACGGAAAAACAGAGGGATTGGCAACAGTGAAACAAATAGACAGAAACACAGAGAAGCAAATAGGCAAATAATCAAAAAAGAAAGACACAGAAACAGAGGGACAGGAAGAGAGAGAAACCGAAAGATTAAAAATTAAAGAGGTATACAAATAGTGACACAGAGGAATAGAGAAATTGGGAAATAAAGAGATTGAAAACGGAGACAAAAATGAACAGGAAAACATAGAAATAGAGACAGAGAGAGACACAAAAAAAGGAAGACAAAAAAACACAGAAACAGAAACACAAAAACAGAGATAGATATAATGACATAGAGGAATAAAAAACAGAGACACACAGAACAAAAAAACAAAGAAACACAGAAATAGATAGATAGAGGAACAGAAAGAGAGTCACAGAGAAATCAAGAAACAGACACAGAGAAATAGAGAAAGGGAAATAGTGCAACTCAAAGACTGAAAACGGAGACACAAGACACAGGGAGAAAAACACGAAACAAAGAAACACTGAAATAGAGAGACAGAAATAGGGAGACAGAAAAATAAAGAAAAAAGTAACACAAACAATAAAGAAATATAGAAATAATGACATAGAGAAATAAAGAGAAACACAGAAACAGTCAGAGGGTCAAAGAAACAGAGAAATAGGAAAACGGAAAAACAAACGGATTGAAAACGGTGACACGGAAGAACAGGAAGAAGAAACGCAAAGAAACAAAAAAGCAAAGAAACACAAAAATACAGAGACAGAAGAACAGATACAGAAATAGAGAGACACAGAAACAGAGGGGCAGGAAGAAAGAGAAACAGAAAGATTAAAAATTAATGAGATATAAAAATCGTGACATAGAGCAATAAATAACAGAGACCCAAAAATGCAGAGAAATAGAGAAATAGGGAAACAAAGGCAGCCATAGATGAAAAACGGAGACAAAAATGAACAGGAAGCCTGAGAAACAGAGACAGAGAGACACAAAAAAGAAGACAGAAAAAGATAAGCAACACAAAAAACAGACAGATATATAAATAATGACATCGAGAAATAAAGAAACAGAGACACAGAGAGGCAAAAAAACAAAGAAACACAAAAATAGATAAAGGAACAGAAAAAGAGATGGAGAAACACTGAAAAAGAGAGACAGGAAGAAAAACAGAGATAGAGAGACACAGAACTAAAGGAACAGAAAGAGAGAAAAACCGAAATATTACAAATTAGTGAGATACAGAAATAGAGTCACAGAGAAATAAAGAAATAGTGACACAGAGAAATAGAGTAAGAGAAGTAGAGAAACCCAGAAACAGAATAGAAACAGTGAGAGACAGAAACAGAAAAACAGAAAAATAAATAAAGAGATATAGAAATAATGACATAGAAAAAGAAACAAAGAGGGAAACAGAGAAACAGTCTGAGAGTCAGCGAAACAGAGAAATGGCGAAATAGGAAAACGGAGAAACAGACGGATTAACAATGTGACACGAAAAAACAGGAAGACAGTGAACTAAATAAACAGAAACGCAGAGAAACAAAAAGACAAAGGAACAAAGAAACACAAAAATAGAGAAACAGAAGAACAGATACGGAGATAAAGATACACAGATACAAAGGGACAGGAAGAGAGAGAAACCGAAAGATTAAAAATTAAAGAGATATAGAAATCGTGACACAGAGAAATAAATGAACAGAGACAGAAAAAAACAGACATAAACAGAAAGACAGAGACACACAGAAATCGAGAAATAAAGAAACCGAGATGTTGAAAACGGAGATAAAAATGAAGAGGAAGGCAGAAAAGTAGAGACAGAAAGACACAAAAAAGGAAGGCAGAAAAACATAGAAACTGTAACACAAAAAACACAGAGATATAGGAATAATGACATAGAGAAATAGAGAAACAGAGACACAGAAAGGCAAAAAAACAAATAAACATATAGAAATAGATAGATAGAGGATCAAAAAAAGAAATGGAGAAACACAGAAACGGAGACACGAAAGACGAGGAAGGCAGAGAAATAGGGAGAGAAAAACACAAAAGAAATAACACTGAAATAGAGAGACCTAGGAACAGAAATAGAGACATAGAGACATAAAAACAGGAAGACAGAAAAACAAGGAAAGAAATGTAGAAATAATGACATAAAGAAATAAAGATACAGAGATACAGAGGAACACAGAAAAAGTCAAAGAGCCAGAGAAACAGCGAAATGGAGAAATAGGGAAATGGAGAAACAGATGGATTGATTGACAACGAAATAAATAGTTAGAAACGCAGAGAAACAAAGAGGAAAAGAAGAAGAAACAAAGAAACACATAAATATAGAGACAGAGATAGGGAGACACAGAAACAGATAAACAGGAGGAGAGAGAAACCGAAAGATTAAAAATTAAAAGATATAGAAATAGTGACAGAGAGACACAGAAACAGGAAGACAGAACAACTTAAAAACAGCAAGACAAAATATAAAGATATAGAAATAATGACATAAAGAAATAAAGATACAGAGATACAGAGGAACACAGAAAAAGTCAAAGAGCCAGAGAAACAGCGAAATGGAGAAATAGGGAAATGGAGAAACAGATGGATTGATTGACAACGAAATAAATTGTTAAAAACGCAGAGAAACAAAGAGGAAAAGAAGAAGAAACAAAGAAGCACATAAAAGATAGGGAGACACAGAAACAGATAAACAGGAAGAGAGAGAAACCGAAAGATTAAAAATTAAAAGATATAGAAATAGACAGAGTGACACAGAAACAGGAAGACAGAAAAACTTAAAAACAGCAAGACAAAATATAAAGATAGAGAAATAAGGACATGGGGAAATAAAGAAACAGAAACAAAGAGAAAATACAGAAACAACCAGAGGGCCAAAAAAATAGAGAAATACAGGAATAAATAGGGGAACAGAGAAATAAACGGATTGAAAACGGTGACACGAAAGAACAAAAAGACAGTGAAATAAAGAGAGAGAAAACCAGAGAAATACAGAGACACAACACAGAAATAGACCGACAAAGGAAAAGAAACAGAAATGGAGAAACACAGAAACCGGGAGACAAAAAACAGAGGAACAAAAGCACTAAAAACAGAGATATAGAAATAAAGACATCGAAAAATAAAGAAACAGAGACATAGAAAATCGCAGAGACAAACAGAGAAACAGATAAATAGAAAAACAGGGAAGCAGGGAAACACAGAGACTGAACAGAGACACGAAAGAGTAGAAAGACGGAGAAATAAGTACAGAGAAGCACTGAGAAATAGAGAAGGAAAAAAAAACACATAAATAGAAACATAGAGGAACAGAAAAAGAGACTGAGAGACACAGAAACAGAAAGACAAAAAGACAGAAAAATAGTTAATATTATATGGAGCAGTTATTATGAATTAAAAAAATGTACGACCCAATTTTTGTTTGATGTAGACAATTAGTTCTAAAATTATAAACACAAAAATTAATAAAATAAAATCCTAGGAAAAATAGTCAGATTTTCACTTTTATATTCTTACTCAAAAAGTTGAAAAAAAAACGTTTTCAAAATTTAACGATTTTAAAGCTTTTTTATCTAAATGAAAAAAGCACTGACTAGTTTTAATCAAAGTGAAGTTAAATATATTTGAAGAGTGGATTCATTTTTTTAAATATTTATATTATTGTTCAATTCTTCGTTGTCTTGTTATACTTTTCGGTTTGTGTCTTTTTTTTGGCAGTCTTGTAATAATTACAAATTTAAACAATTTCTGTACTGTAGATTTGATATCCTTAAGCCATACGATTTTTAACTGGGTCAGCATCTGGGCAAAAAACATTCTCTTTTGCTAAAATCACAAATAATTATGTAAAAACAATATTATAATTTTAGAACGGTATTTTCTTTCATATTTTCCTAGTTTTAAAAATAAAAAATTTGCAAGATTTTTCATTCCGAATAATCGTCAAAATCTGTTCAAAGTTATGACTTATGCAAGAAATAAACTTGTCAATAGAGAATCAAAAAAAAAAGGTTCACCTTTAAGAAGAAAATTTGATTTCACTTGTAAATAAACCAAATATGATGATCAATTTTACAACGGGCTTTGCTGAATTAATTTTTTTCTTTATAAATAATAATAATTTTGGTGTAATTTAGACAAAACGACTGAATTAAACACTGTATTAATTTACAGTTTTATAAATAAATTAGACAATTACTTACTTAAAAGGTAACATCGACAATTTTTAAAATCTAAGGACCAGTTTATGGAATATTTTAATTGAGATTAAGTGAATGAAGTATAAACCAAGTTTCAGCACAGTTTGAAGGAATAGTAAATTTATAAAAAATTGTAGAAAAAAGACGAAAAATTTACAGTGAGTCTCATGCCATACAATAACAAAAGGCATCCAATTTTCAAGCGCTAGATATTTTCTAGTCATCTTTGCTAGATGGAGAAGAAGAAATTTTCGTTTCTGAAAATTTAAAATTTTACAAAAAGAAATCGAAAATGATAAACGTGCACTTAAGCAGAAACATCCTGAAACAACTGAAAGTCATCAAAATTTGTCTGAAATTTCAAATGTGGTCAAGAGGACTTCAATTGGTAATTTGAGCAATTACAATTTAACCACAAGCTTAAAATCATTATCACTTTGATAAAATTTATTGTAGTTCATATACCTGTCTAAACACCTAAAACCTTCATAAATCAGATAAAAATAATTGGTTAATAACCACATTATTCTCAAGGATATTACACTGTGAATTAAGTTACAAGAACGATTATTATGAATTTCACAAACATAAATATCAGCAAGAATATTTTAAATAATTGTCAAAAAATCATCGTTGGTGAAAACATTTTTAAACCAAAGCACTTGTCCAAATTAGAATTTTTTTACCTCTCGTTTACAAGAAAAGAACTTGTTCCAGTACAAAATTTCCAATTAAACTCGACACGAAAGAGGATATAATTGACACAATATTGACCAAGAATAGTTACAAGGTACAAAATTCTGAAAACTTGCACTCCAATCTCCGCCAGAAGCAATTACTGCCTCTATCAAATCGAGCTACATTATCTATCCCAAGATGAGATAAGTCAAACGTGCAGGTTATTAAACAGTCCTCAAATTTCTCACCATCCAAAACTTGAAAAATATCCAGAAAATCCTGCAAAGCTCTGAAAAAAAAATCGTCAAACTGAAACCCACCGTCGCTGGTGAATGCAATTTCACGTGATTTCTCTCCACCTTGAACCGTGCAGAAAATAATTGGTGGATATCGCAAGCAGCCCATATAACCAGATTTAATTAAAACATATCTTTATTGACATAGGTGTATTTAATATGACAAAATAGGACATTACCACTAAACATTTGCTTGTTTGCAGAATACACGTGTATTTATTTAAATTATACAGTAGCTTTTAATAACGGACAGGTTGCTGACATTTATTTGTTTTATTTGAAACAATTATTTACAAATCACTCATAAATTTCACTTGTCACCAGATAACAAAATAGATAATCCCTCACCCGTCACATTAACCAAAACGAGCTTTCTTAGTGCCAAAATACTTGGTGGCAGTTCCCATGGGAAAAACTGCAGCAAAAACCAATCAAAAAGCGCCCCATGCCCTCCAAATCGCCACCAGAAAATAAATTACCCGAAGCTTTGAACTTTCCTTGAAGAGAAAAAAAATCCGAGCTTCCAGCCCGCCCAGAAAGCCCGGAATCGACGCAAGACGAGCCCAAGACGTCCGGCCAAGAAGTCCGTGCCTTTCTGAACCGCCTGAAAAAATCCATCCCACGCCTCTGCTCCAGCCAGACACACAAACGGCCACTTTTCAGCCAGCTCGGAACAGCTGAAACCTGAAATATCAACCTTAGCAAATTTTATTAAAACCGGCAGCTTTTCAAGCGGACACGACGTCGTTATTTATTTAGCGTAAATTCGATGAATTTTCGACAAAGGATTAGCGTTCGATCCCTTTCGCTGTAACAAGGCATGAAATTTGCCATAAATTCACTTCGACATAAAGGGTTACGTGTTCATTGAAAAAAATTCTATGGAATTCGTCACGACTGAAAATTTAATGTTACGAAAAAAAACGTGCTGAGGCGGAGAACGATGGGTCTAAGCTCTGGACGAGCTATTAAAGGATCATTTTATGGTCTGCTGGAGCGATTTCAAGATGGGTCCGATTAGGTATTGTTGGGCAAATCAGATACAGAGCGCTTGTAACCTGATGAATGGGTACAGCGGATAAAAGCTCCGGTGGAGGAGGATGGGGAGCTTTCGGGATTACAGAGAGGAACAATAAAGATTTATTTTTAATTACGAGGGAGTGGGAAGATTTTCATCTCAGTTTTTAAATTCTTACATCTCTGCAACAGGTGTCCATCAAAATCAAAACAGCTTTCAAAATTGATCAACTTTTCCAAAAAGCTCCATTTTCCAAAACATTAGTTTTGCTTTTGTAAGAAAAGTGGTCGATTTTTTTGTTAATATGTCATCTATGTTGAACGACGGATTTTTCAATAAACATTTTCCAAGTTTGGGGTTTCATTGATAAGTCAGGTTTGATTCAGTTGTTGATTTTTCAAAAATCTGGTCGTTTTTTGGAAAAATCGAAATTTTGGCCGCCTGATTCGAATAGTTGAATTTGGCGGTGTCGGTTGCGCCACCTGTGCCGGTTTTGCAGAACTTGGGCGGAGCTTTGGCAACGAAATCTGCGAAAGCTGCAAGCTCATGCGCGCTTTTATCGATTGGTGGCATTTGAAAGCCCTAGAACCATGCCGGAGTTCACGGGACTGCAACACAATGAAGAGCGACCCCACATTTTGATCGTTGGGACCGGGGACCACAACTCGTCCTCGCCTCTTGACAACAAGAACTTCACCTACAACATCCCCTCTAGTAAGTTTTGGCTTTGTAGTAATTTTTTTGTAGAATTCATGGCGATTTTAACCGAGTTCGAAGTTCTATTCTTAGAGAAAAAACAACAAAAATTGAAAAATAGAACGGTGACTACTTTCTATATTCTTCCAGAACTGTAAGTCAAAGAAAATTTTTTAATTTTTTTGACAAAGATTTTTTGTCTTAATTTTAATTTTGGTGTTTTCGTAAATATAAAAATAACGACGTTTTCGTAGTAATAGCAACACAAGAGGAAAAATGTATGTAAATTAATTAAAGCAAATTGTCAACACAAATTTAGAATTAAAAGAGAAAATTAATTATTAGAAAAAATAATGTAAACATTTTCTGCTGCCTCTCTAGTCGAGTAGAGAAAAAGAATAAGACGTATATCTGAAATTCGCATTTAAATTTTAAGAAAAAAAAATAAGAAAGAAGATAGCAAAAAATAAATATTGGAAGAGGAATAAAATTATAGAAAAAGGATGCAAAACCTAAGAATTTAAATGAGCTGAAAGGAGATAGCTTAGAAGGAAAAAATAAATCCCGAATATGAAATTGAAGAAAGAAGTAAAGTTTCAAGAAAAATAGAAAAATATTTAAAAGTTGTATAAAATAAATTAAAAATATGAAAACAATTAATTTTTATACAAAAGATATTCTCAAAAAAAGAAAAACAAACGATGAAAATTTTATTGTAAAGTAGTGAATATAAACGAAAAAAAATTTAATAAAATAAAACTGGAATAAATAGGAACATTTTACTTGAGATAAATTAAAGATAGTAGTTAACGTCATTTTTTTGAAGTGCTAGAAAATTCCGGCTCAATAAAATTTGACAAAAAAAAGGAAAAACGAAAACAAATTTTTTAAGTGAATTAAAAAAAAAAGAAAACTGATACAAAAATATCCAGGTAGAATTTAAAACAAATGAAAAGAGATATCGTAGAAGAAACAAAATAATTCCCCGATACATCTGGTAAATTATTTTTGAAATTCAAGAAGTTGAAGAATAAAATAACACTTTTGAATATTTCGGGATTCAATCCTGCAGTTTTTTAATTTTTTGTTTTTCCATTTCTCAATTTTTCTGTTATTCTATATTCAATTTTTCAATTATACAGTTTTCAATTTTTGAATTTATTGAATCTACACTTTATGGATTTTTCAATTTTCGATCTTTCAATATTCAATTTCCAAAATTTTTCGATTCTTCAGATTTTGCATTTCTCATTTTTAATTTTCCGATTTTCAAATTTTCCGTTATGCAGTTTTCTATTTTTCCAATTTCCAGATTTCGATTTTATAATTTTATACTTCTCAATTTCTGAATTTGTCAAGTCTCCATTTTTCGAATTTTTCAAATTTTCGATTTTAAATTTAAACACTGGATTTTCCCGATTTTTAGATTTTTCAATGTTTCCGTCTAGCAATTTCTTGTTTCTTCAGTTTCTAGCTAGTTTAATTTTACGTTTTTTTTTAATTTTTGGAAATTTTGAAATTCTTCATGTCTTAAAATTTTGAATTTTCATCTTTTGAATTTTTCAAATTTCTCAAAGTTAAGACTTTTAAGTAATTTTCCATTATTCGATTTTTCCATATTTCGATTTTCAATTTTTCGATGTTTCTACGTATGTTTCAATTTTTGGATTTTCGAGTGTTTGATTTTTCCGTTTTCTTCAACTTTCGAATTTTTGATTCTTAAGTTTTTTGATTTTTTATTTTCGAATTTTCAATATTTCAGTTTTCAAATTTTTGACTCTTCACTTTTTGGATGTTCACATTTTCGATTTTTCCGTTTTTCATTTTTCCATTATCCAATTTTTCACTTATCCAGTTTTCAATTTTTTAATTTTTCGATTATTAATTTTCTGGTTTTTTATTTTCTTTCACTTTTTCAACCTTTCATTCTTAAAATTTTTCATTTCTCCAATTTTTGGACTTCAAGGTTTTTGATTAGTCCCTTTTTGTAATATTTGATTTTTCAGATGTTTGGTTTTCCAGATTTCGATTTTTCGAATTTTAGATTTTCCAGATTTTCATTTTTCAGTTTTTCTATTCTTCAGATTTCGGTTTTTGAATATTTCGATTTTTCAATTATACAGTTTTCGAATTTTTCAAATTTTCGATTTTAAAATTAAACACTTTCGATTTTCTCGATTTTTCAATGTTTTTCAACTTTCGAATTTTTCAAATTTCTCAATGTCCAGACTTTCAAGTTTTTGATTTTTCAGTCTATTAATTTTCCATTTTTCGATTTTTCCATATTTCGATTTTCAATTTTTCGATGTTTTTACAAATATTTCAATTTTTGGATTTTCCAGTTTTTGATTTTTATGTTTTTGAGTTTTACATTATTCGATTTATCATTTATCCAATCTTCAATTTTTAAATTTTTGATTCTTAAGTCTTCTGATTTTTTTATTTTCACATTTGCAATACATATTTCAGTTTTTAAATTTTTGATTCTTCACTTTTTGGATTTTCAAAATTTCGATTTTTCTGTTTTTCAAATTTCCATTATCCAATTTTTCACTTATTCAGTTTTCAATTTTTTAATTTTTCGATTATTAATTTTCTGGTTTTTTATTTTCCTTAACTTTTTCAAGACTTCATTCTCAAAATTTTTTATTTCTCCAATTTTTGCACTTTAAGGTTTTTCATTAATCCCTTTTTGTAATTTTCCATTTTTCTAATTTTCAGATTTTTGTTTTTCCAGATTTCGATTTTTCGAATTTTAGATTTTTCCCGGTTTCCACTTTTCAGTTTTTCTATTTTTCAGATTTCGATTTTTGAATATTTCGATTTTTCAATTATACAGTTTTCAATTTTTGAATTTACTGAATCTTCACTTTTTGGATTTTTCGATTTTCGATGTTTCAATATTTTATTTTTCAAAATTTTTCGATTCTTCAGTTTTTACGTCTCCCATTTTTCAATTTTTCGATTTTCAAATTTTCCGTTATGCAGTTTTCTATTTTTCAAATTTTCTGTTTTCAATTTTTTGATTTTTCAAATTTTCCAATTTCCAGATTTCGATTTTATAATTCTCCACTTTTCAATTTCTGAATTTGTCAAGTTTTCAGTTTTCGAATTTTTCAAATTTTGGTTTCAAATTAAAACAATTTCGATTTTCCCGATTTTTAGATTTTTCAATGTTTCCATATAGCAATTTCTTGTTTCTTCAGTTTCTAGGTTATTTAATTTTACGTTTTTTCTTAAATTTTTTGAAAGCTTGAAATTCTTCATGTTTCCAAATTTTGATCTTTCAACATTTGAATTTTTCAAATTTCTCAGTGTCTAGACTATCAAGTTTTCGATTTTTCGGTCTATTAATTTTCCATTTCGATTTTTCCATATTTCGATTTTCAATTTTTCGATGTTTCTACATATATGTATTTCAATTTTTGGATTTTCAAGTTTTTGATTTTTCCGTTTTTGAGTTTTACATTATTCAATTTATCATGTATCCAATCTTCAAATTTCGAATTTTTGATTCTTAAGTTTTTTGATTTTTGATTTTCGAATTTTCAATATTTCAGTTTTTAAATTTTTTATTCTTCACTTTTTGGATTTTCAAATTTTCGATTTTTCCGTTTTTCAATTTTCCATTATTCAGTTTTTCGCTTACCCAGTTTTCAATTTTATAATTTTCCGATTTTTTATTTTCTTTCAATTTTTCAACATTTCATTCTTAAAATTTTTCATTTCTCCAATTTTTGGACTCAGTTTTCAATTTTTCGTTTCGTCATCACTGAATTTTTCAATTTTTGACTTTCTAATTTTTCAATATTTAAACGTTTGAATTTTTCGGTTATCAGTCTAAGAGAGGGTGGGTGGGCGAGCCTAGTATCTGCTAAGATAAGACTGATTTTCGCGAATGACATATCTTCCAAAAAAAGAAAGGGTGGGTGGGCGGGGCTAGTATGGATTTTTCAATTTTCGATGTTTCAATATCTCAATTCTCAAAATTTTTCGATTCTGCAGTTTTTGCATTTTCCATTTTTCAATTTTTCGATTTTCAAATTTTCCGTTACGCAGTTTCCTATTTTTCAAATTTTCAGTTTTCAATTTTTTGATTTTTTAAACTTTCCAATTTCCAGATTTCGATTTTATAATTCTCCCCTTTTCAATTTTTGAATTTGCCAAGTCTTCAGTTTTCGAATTTTTCAAATTTTCGATTTTAATTTTAAACATTTTCGATTTTTTCGATTTTTCGATTTTTCCATCTTTTTCAACTTTTTAATTTTTCAAATTTCTCAATGTTCAGACTTTCAAGTTGTTGATTTTTCAGTCTATTAATTTTCCATTTTTCGATGTTCCTACAAATATATCAATTTTTGGATTTTCAAGTTTTTGATTTTTCCGTTTTTGAGTTTTTCATTATTCGATTTATCATTTATCCAACCTTCAATTTTTGAATTTTTGATTCTTAAGTTTTTGGATTTTTTATTTTCGAATTTTCAATATTTCAGTTTTTAAATTTTTGATTCTTCACTTTTTGGATTTTCAAATTTTCGATTTTTCCGTTTTTCAATTTTCCATTAATCAATTTTTCCCTTATCCAGTTATCAATTATTAATTTTCTAATTTTTTATTTCCTTTCAGTTTTTCAATATTTCATTCTTAAAATTTTTCATTTCTCCAATTTTTGACTCAGTTTTCAATTTTTCGTTTCGTCATCACTGAATTTTTCAATTTTTGACTTTTCAATTTTTCAATATTTAAATGTTTGAATTTTACGCTTTTCAGTCTAGGAGAGGGTGGGTGGGCGGGACTAGTACCTGCTACGGTAAGACTGATTTTCGCAAATGACATATCTTCCAAGAAAAGAGAGGGTGGGTGGGCGGGGCTAGTACCTGCTAAGAAAGACTGATTTTGGCAAATGAGATCCCTCTAAGAAAATAGAGGGCGTGTGGGCGGGGTTAGTATGGATTTTTCAATTTTCATTGTTTCAATATTTCAATTTTCAAAATTTTTCAATTCTTCAGTTTTTGCAT